GAGGCGGACCGGCAGCTTCTGCGGCGGTGCCGGCTGCGGCTGGTCCAGGAGCTGCAGGTGGCCCCGCTCTGGGACGTTCTGCTGCACCGCGAGCTCTTCAAGCCCGACATGGTCGAGGACATCCAGGTACGCCCCGCCCCGCCGGCGCTCCCCTCCCTCCTCTTCCTGCGTTGTCCTCTCGGGCACCCACCCCCTTGGGGATCCATTATGTGGGAACCCCGTTTTCCCTGTGGCATCGAGCCTGCACAACCCCCAACGGTCCCGAAGAGCCCCAAAGACCTGTCGGTGGAGTGTTCGCTAAAGCGAGTCCACGCCCTGCTCCACCAGCGAGCGCTGCTCGTACTTGTGCTGCTTCTGTGTAAAAGAAGTCTCAGTACTTTGGAAGGCCGAGGTGAGAGGATTGCCTGAGCCCAAGGGTTCGAGACCAGCCTGGGCAAGTTGGCGATACCTCACCTCTACAATAAATCAAAAAAATGAGCGGACGTGGTGGCGCGTGCCTGTAGTTGCAGCTACTTGGAAGGCTGAGGTGGGAGGATCGCCGGAGCCCAGCAGGTCGAGGCTGTGGTGGCTGTGAGTATGCCACAGCACTCCAGCCTGGGTGACAGAGTGAGACTCCAACTCAAAAAAAAAAGAAAAAAGAAAAAACGCTTGAGACGATGAAAATTTTGAAGCATTCCTTTGAGTGAGAAGCAGTTCATGAGCTTCAGGAAGCACAACGCTGAGGTCTAGTGTTCCAATGACAACATCAGAGGCAGGTATATATCGGGAAAATGTATTTTTTGGTTTTGTTTTGTTTTGTTTTAGTCGGTCTTATTGTCACCCAGGCTGGAGTGCAGTGGCACGCTCATGGCCACCGCAGCCTCGACCTGCTGGGCTCAGGGAATCCTTCCACCTCAGCCTTCCAAGGAGCTGGAACCACAGGTGTACATCATGCCCAGCTAATTTTTTAATTTATTGTAAAGACAAGGACTCGCCAAGTTGCCCAGGCTGGCCTCCCACACCTGGACTCAGGCAATCCTCTTGCCTTTGGCTCCCAAAATGCTGGGTTTACAGAAGTGAGCCTATGGAGACCCACAATTGTCTGTCCATATTGTGACAACCCCTAGGGAAGGGCATGGCGAGTGTTGTGTTCCAGAGGTGGCCCCACGTCCCTGAGAGTTAACAAAAGGAGGGCTTTCCCTTATCTCCTATGCATTCCAGGTAAATAACTTCAAAGAGTCCTTAATTTCCCTGCATCCTTTGCCCAATTAATTGAGATGTAAATCCCAATTATTCCATTTTCTTAGTAATCATGAGTTTGAATAATATAGCATCAAGGTAACTGTAAGTCTTGTGGTTTGTATAACTTTTGTGTACTTTTTTTTTTTTTTTTTT